ACGCTGGAGGCTGCTGCTGGATTCGGCCCTGGCGGAGGGTTCGGCGGCGGAGGAGGCGCCTGAAGCAGGTACTGCTGGTACTCCATCGTCAGGATGGGCGCCCCGTCCATCAGGTAGCCGGCCACTCCTCGGTCGGGCACTCCATCGGGTCCGGCGGCCTCCATCGCCTGGGCCCAAGTCATCAGCTGGGCGGGCAGCTGGTTGGGCACGCCAGGATGGGAAGGCGGTCCGCTCGGCGTCGTAGTGGCCTCCGCCAGCGCCTCCACCGGCGTCTCGACCGCCTGGCTCAGCACCGCCCTGGCAGCGTCTCCTTGACCGTCGCTGCCGTCGCCTCTGCTGTCGCCGCCTCCTGGCGGCTGAGTGGTGGACCCGCGGAACTGGGGAGCTCCCTGCACTGAGAGGATCCCCCTCAGGATAAACATGGAAATCGTTATGAACTTCATCATTGCGCCGGACGATGCCGGCAGGATGCTGTGATCGTCGGCTCAACTGTCGACGCTGGGAAACCCACGAGCAAAGACTCGAGCCAAAAGAGGCCACGGACAGCACATACACGAGAGCCCTTGGGCCCCTGCTGCCGATGAGGTCGAGAGCTCCCTTGCCGATGGGCTCGAGAGCCCTGTTCCGTCCTTCGTTGCTGTTGTCCAAGACCTTAGCGCGCCCCAAAGATCCTGGACGTTAAAAAGTGGGAGGAAAAAAAGAGAGGAGGAGGAAGGGAAGGGGGCGGAGCTGGGAGGAGCCTGCCAGTGAAAAGAAGAGAGATGAGAGGGAAAGCCAAGAGCGAAGACCGAGCGGAGGGTCGGAGGCGGCCTGGGGCGACCGATAGGTAGCGGGCGGGCGCCGGGCCTGACGGGCGGAAGACGGGAAAGCGAGGGCAAAAGTGACAAGGCAAGTAGCGCATACTATGGAGCGGCTGAAGCCTGCGCAAGGGGAGCCACCTGAGGGGAGGACCCGTGAACCTGGTGCGAGAAGGCTCCCCGACCAACACACGATGAATAGGCAGACCACGACTGCGACGATTGAGACGACCGAGTAGCCCAGGCACGGCGGTTCCCTCGGATCCCTGCTTGGCGTTCTGCTCGAAAACCCCCTTGGTCTAGACCCCGCACGACTTGACCCGGACCCTGCTCGCCTCGACTTAGCTCTGAACCGAAGGATGGAGATGATGAGGTGAGGGATGTACTGCGTCACAGTTCCGTCTGCCAGCATCTTCGGAGGCTTCTCATTGCCAAGGGTGAATGACCCCTCCGTCAGAAAAGGATAGCGCTGGAGGGCCGACGCTGGGACTGTCGGCGGCTCCTCCAGGGAACGCACGATCTCTACCATCCTGCGCCCGGAACCCAGGCGTGTCATGGCCACGGTCGTGCGCAGGGTGCCGGAGCGAAGCCTGTTCCTCGGCAAATCAATCACGCTCTCTAGAAAGTCCAGAAGATTGACGCTCAAAATGTGAGGGACAGCCTCTCCGAGCACGGTGGTGTCTATGATGCCAAAGACGCCACCTAAACACAACGGAAAGAGTATGGCGCTCACAACCTTGGCCTGGCCCCCCACTCCGTGGGCCCCACGAAGGCGCGTCCGATGTTCAGCAGGAATCTCGACGTACCTGAGGCCGTGGGTCGCGAGCGCCTCGGACTCCCTGTTGAGAGCCTCCACGCCTACCAGATCGGTCCCCGCCCCGGGGTCGACCAGGCCCTGGGTCGACGAGGCCGCCAGGAAGATCGACCCTGACGTGATCTCCTCCTCGACCCCGCGCCACGCCGGCGCTGCCCACATGTCGTTACTGCCGAACGCCACCCCGTCGAACATGTAGGACGAGGCCTTCCTGATGGGAGTCTTCTTGACGGAGACCTCCCGCTTGACAGCGTCCTTCTTGGTGCTGCTGACGTTGGGACACTCACGCCCCCAATGGCCCTTCTCGTGGCACAGCTTGCACTTGGTGACCTTCATCAGCTGCTCCTGAGTGAGGAAGCGTCGCCTGCCCTGAGGAGGCCGGCGTCCTGCTCCTCCAGCACCGCCTCCACGCTCGTCACGTTCTCGTCGCTGGCGACCTCCTCCTCGCCCGGCTGACCGAGAAGGATGAGAGGTCCTGCCACTGCCTCGACCTCGGGAGCCAAAATATTCTCGATCGCGCCGAGCTGCGCGCTTGAGGTCCTTGTTCTGCTTCCAGGACCTGTTGTTCGTCAGCTCGGCTAGCACCAGCTCGGCGTCGTCCTCCTCGATGTCCATGTCATCGATCTCCGCGAGGAGGGCCGCCACGTCCTCTTCCTCGAGCTCGTCCGACTCGTCGGCTCCCTCGTCGTAGTCATCCTCTTCGTCCTCGACCACCTGGTAGTTGGCATCCTCCGACCTACCTTCACACCGACCGAGGTTGGGAGAGGAGGAAGAAGACTGAAAAGCACCAGCGTCCGAGCGAGCGCTCGGCCCTAGGTCTTCAGACGCTGCTGCTAGCATGCTGCCTGTCCCGGCTTTGCCGGGGAGCAGGCGCTCAGTGCCGGCTGATGAATCAAGCTGGCGCAGTGCCCACTTCACGCTGCTGTAGGTCAGGTCCCCGCGGGTGAGCGTGCGCAAGTTCTGCACGCCCTGCTGAGTGAGATTGGCCCTCCGCTAGAAAGACCCTGAAAAAAAAAAAAAAAAAAAAAAAAAAAAAAAAAAAAAAAACAAAAAAAAAAAATAAAAAAAAAAAAAAAAGAGAAAAAAAAAAAAGAAAAACAATAAAAAAAAAAAAAAAAAAAAAAAAAAAAAAAAATGAAAAAAAAAAAAAATAAAAAAATAAACTTGTCGGACATCCATAAGTCGTGGCCCTCCGCGTCGATGAACTCTGCTTCACGACGGCTCACGTACTGGGTGAGCGTCTCCTTGGAGTCGCGGACGGCCTCGTACAATGCTTTTCGTCCTGCCCGTCGTAGCTCGTCTCCTTCGCGCTCCCCGATCATCAAGTCCATGCGACTGAGGAGCTTCTGCAACCATGACGATGCGGTGAGCTCCCTGTCTGGAATGTCCTCGAACTTGGCCTGCATCGTCCAGTCGAAGAGCCGCATGAACTTCTCCGACCTCCTCCAGACTGCTACGTCGGTGTTGTCGTTCCAGCGCCGAATGGCTCGGCGCCATTGTCTGTAGTGGGCCCAGCCGGGCCATGCTGGAGGGTCCGAGAAATCACCTCGGCCACCAGTCCATTGGCCCGACCACCAGTTGCTGTTCCAGCTCGAACTCCAGTCCTGGTGCTCGTCCCACTTCTGATCCTCCTTCACGTCGTCCTTGTCGCCAGGTGGGCGCCACTGTCCTGAATCTCCTGCTGCTTCTCCGCTGCCCACCTCGGCGACTGGTCTGGTTCTGCTGCTGCTCCACGGGTCGGCCCCCGTGCCGTCCCATGGGTCGGCCACCGTCGGTGCTGTCTCTGGCGGTGGCCGCTGCTGCTGTTGGCCAAAATGGCCGAGCGCCCGCGCGGTCTCCTGGACCGCGGACTGTATTGCCCGAGTGAGCGTCTCCTGGTCGATCGTCGTCGCCGCCACGACTGTAGATCCTGATGCTGCTGCTCCGGCCGTCGACCCCTCAGCTCCTCGAGCTGTCATGACGGCGAAGGTCTCATCTCGTCCATCGCCTCCTGGGGCGATTGGCGGCGGCTGCCGCTCACCATCTGCGGGCATCTCTGCCGTGGATCCCACGCTGCTCAGTGGTCAGAGCGAAGCCTGGCTCCGGGGCGCGCAAGCGCCGAGCGGCCTGGCCGTCACAGCCAGCCTCTCGCGCCCATGGCCTCCGGGCCGGACCCCGCTCCGCTACCAACTGTGGCAGCAGGAGAGGGGACAGAATGTTTTCCCTTGAGCCACATGTGGCACGGACACGTACAAGATGGATCTCTGTCCATCGGTCCCCAGAGTGAAACACCAAAAGCTAAACCTATACGTGAGATTATGGACCCCTGGAACAAGATACTCCGAGAGGCATCCAGTAGGCCTCTGGCCATTCTGCTCGCCCTTCTTCTCCTCCTCCTCGTCCTCCTCCTCCTCATTCTCCTCCTGTTCCTCCTGCTCCTCCTCCTCTTCATCATCATCCGCCTATTCCTCCTCCTCCCTCCTCCCTCCTCCCGCTCCCCCTCCTCCTCCTTCAGTTTCTCCTCCTCCTCCTCCTCCTCATCCTCCTCCGATTCCTCCTCCATCCTCGCCGTCTTGGATAAGACAGGTTCCCCAGCCCTTGGTTACTCTGTGTGCTCCCTCACTTCCCTGATCACCTCCATTCGCCTGGGCATTCGCTGGTCGAGAACCAGCAACACCAGCAGCAACAGCAGCAGAAGCAGTACCAGCAGGAGCAAGAGCACCAGCAGCAACACATGCAACCTTCATCACAAAAGATCTCCCAATTCACCGTTGTCGCCCGCTCGGTTTCACTATGTGTTTCTCTCCTTCCCTTCTTCCGTCAGCTCCCCTACGCATCGTTTGTGGATGGGCTGGTGGGGATACGCGTAGCGTCTAGAATTGTGGAAACGATGAGAAGCAAAGTGAGACAGGATAGTGCAGGATGAAAGGAAAATTAGGGAGCTACAGGGGCACCTTTGGTTAGGAATGTCTGGGAGAGACCATGGCGCGGGACAAGGACTGAATGTCCCCCCTACACCCCGCGAAATGCTTAAGAAATCATGGGTTAAGAAATTCATAGTCTCAGAACTTGAGTAATAACCCAACATTCCAATTAAACTCTTAAGATTTACATTGAAACGTTAAGAATAATCGAGACTCTGGCCGAAAACTTAGGTTTTCTTCAGCATCGCCTAAGGTGTACTGCCATCGACCGGTGGGATAAAACCGAACTCAGCCCCCCAGATGTTTGGCCCAGGGATGAGACCACGTGGTCCCCCCGCCACCAACGCACTGACAATTGTTACCTGCAACACTTCGTGCTTAATCCAGACTCAGGGGGGCTTCTACGGTGCCTTCCCCCCTCCCCCATACCCCCCTCTGCGCGCGGCCGGCCCATGGCTGAGTCATGAAACTTCTTCCCCCGAGGTCCGGTAGCGAGTGCGCACCTGGTCCATGACCTCCCCCAGCAGCCTGGGGGGACGCCAGTGTGATACACCACGCCGGCCCTGGCAGGTGCCGACCCTGGGCCCAGAGCCTAGGCGTACGTCGTCCTGGCCTGGCCAGTGAAGCACCCTGGAATCCTGCTTCTCCGTCCTCCTCCTCCTCCTCCTCCTCCTCCTCCTCCTCCTCCTCCTCCTCCTCCTCCTCCGCCTCCTCCTCCTACCCCTCGCTCCTCCCACTGCTCCCCCGCCTCCTCCTCCTCCTCCTCCTCCTCCTTGCAAGACCTTTTTGGTTGAAAAAGAAGAAGATGTTAGCCTTCTCCTCCTCCCCATCCACCTCCGCCTCCGCCTCCCTCCTCCTCCTCCTCCTCCTCCGCCTCCTCCGCCTCGTCCTCCTTCTTCCTCCTCAGCAATCGAAGGTGATTCATATTGTGAGGCGACGTTCTCTCAGCCCCAGAACGCCCGACCCTGTCCCGAGGTCGTGTTAGCATCCCGGAGATCTCCGCCACCGTGCCGCTGGGCACAGAGCGGGCGTGTCCTCAAGTCCTCTGCCCAAATCCTCTGAGCCTCACTCCTCACTCCTGAGGCTTTTTCGAGGCGGAGGAGGAGGAGGAAGAGGAGGAGGAGGAGGGGGAGGAGGAGGAGGAGGAGGGGGAGGAGGAAGGGAGAGGAGGAAGAGAGAGGAGGAGGAGGAGGAGGAGGAGGAGGAGGAGGAGGAGGAGGAGGAGGAGGAGGAGGAGGAGGAGGAGGGGCCCGGACCCCACCTCGCTCTCGAATCTCAGGCGGCTTCCCGCGTGCCCCCTGGGGCTTCGCGCGTGCCCGCTGGGGTTTGCCAAATGGTGGCGCGTGGTTTTTTCGGGCCGAAGAGGGCCCCCCAAGACGGGCCGAGAGAGCCTCGAGAGGCACCGCAAGACTGTCCAAGAGGGCCCCGAGTCGCCGAACTATCGCTCCAAGACGCTCAAGATGGCCCCCAGACGGCCCAAGAGGCCTCCAAGACACCCCAAGCTGCCTCCGAGAAACCTCTCAAGAGGGCCCCAAGAGGCCAAAATTATTGATTGCCCCAAGGCTTTTGCAAGATGTTGGCGTTCTCGCCGTTTCGGCTTCCGGACGCTCCCAGACGGCACTAGAGGCCCCCAGTACCGATCCAAGACGGCCCAAGAGGCCTCCAAGAGGGCCCAAAACGGCTCAAGAGGACCCCAAGACGGCCCAAGAGGTGCCCAAAACGAGCCAAGAGGTCCCCATGACAGCCCTAAAACAAGTAAGGGAATACGAACCGAAAATCCGAGCCTTCCGCCCCAGGAGGCCCCCAGGGGGCCCCAGGAGGCGCCAATGAGGCCCCAAGAGGCCCCCAAGAGGCCCCCAAGGGGCCCCAAGAGGCCCCACAAATGCGCAAACGAGGCCCCAAGAGGCCCCGAAACGGCCCCCAAGAGGCTTCCAAACTGCATCCAAGAGGCCCCCGAAAGGCCTCCTACAAGATCCCAACGAACATCTAATAGGCCTCGTACCCACAACCCACAACCTAAAACAAAAGAAAACTAAAAACAAAGATGAAAAACAACAAAACTATTACAACAAAACCAGGCGAAGCAGCAAACAACTAAAAAAACGGAAAAAAAAAACCAAACTACAAAAAAAACAAAAGAAAGAAAAAACGAAAAAAAGAAAAAACCACAACAAAAGCCACATTAAGGAAAAAAAAAGAAAACAAAAAAAACACAAAAAACAAAGGAGAAAGAGGGAAGAGTACAAGGGAGACTACACCAAACCAGAAACTAAGACAAAAATCTAAAAGAAACAAAAAAAAAACAGGCACGAGTGGGCGAACTGTCTTGCCACCACCCAAACAAAAAGAAGAAAAAAAAAAAAAAAAAAAAAAAAAAAAAAAACAAAATAAAAAGCAAAAAGCTAACGCACAAAATCAAAACAACACATAAAAACAAAAAAAAAAAAAAAAAAAATCAAAAAAAAACACAAAAAGGTGGCCCCGGGCGTGCTGGATCCTTTCGATGTGGGTTTTGGCTCTTTTTCCAGAAGGGCTCTGCCCTGGGGGTTCGGCCCGTCCCGACGGCCACCCGGAAGTGACCGCAAACTATCAGAAAACCCGGTTGCAAAGGTTTTTACTGCTCCAGACGGCTCCAAGATGGCCTCCAAGATGGCCTCCTAGATGCCCAAGATGGCCTCCAAGACGGCCCAAGAGGGTCCAAGATACTAGTTCGCCCAAGAAGCCTCCAAGACGACCCAAGACTGCCCAAGAGGTGCCCACGAGGCCTCCAAGACGGCCCAAGAGGCCTCCGAGAGGTTCTCCAGGAGGGCCCGAAGAGGCTAAAATCATTGATGCTCCCTAGGTGTTTGAAGCATTTTCGTACTTGCTCTTTTTCGGCTTCCGACGGCCCACGACGGCCCAAGAGGACCCCAAGATCGCCCCCAGAGCGCCCAAGAGGCCTCCAAGATGGCCCCAGAACGGCCCAAGAGGCCCCCAAGACGGCCTCAAGAGGGCCCCAAGACGGCCCAAGATGCCTCTAAGACGCCCCAGGAACCCTCCAAGACAGCTGGAGCACCCCAAGAGGGCCCCAAGTCGGCCCAGAGAGGCCCCAAAAACTGCTTCCGACGGCATCAGACGGGCCAGGAGCCCACCAAGACGGCCCAAGATGGCTCTAAGGTGGCCTAAGACGGCCCGAGAGGCCTCCAAGAGGGTCTCCAGGAAGGCCCGAAGTGGCCAAAATCATTGCTTTGCGGTTGGTTGTTGACGGATTTGGGCATTTGCTTCTTTTCCGACTTCCGACGGCCCGAGACGGCCCAAGAGCTCCCAAAATCGCCCCAACATCGCCCAAGAGGCCTCCAAGATGGCCCCAGAACGGCCCAAGAGGCCCCAAAGACGGTCCCAAGAGGGCCCAAAGACGGCCCAAGAGGCCTCTAAGACGCACAAGAAAGCCTCCAAGACGGCCTTGGAGCATTCCAAGAGGGCCCCAAGTCGGCCCAGAGAGGCTCCCAAAACTGCTTCCGACGGCGTCAGACAGGCCACGAGCCCACCAAGACGGTCGAAGATGGCCCTACTCCAGACGGCCCGAGAGGCCTCCAAGAGGGGCTCCAGGAAGGCCCGAAGATTTGCCGTTGTTTTTTGAAGGATGCTGGCATTTGCTTCTTTTCGGCTTACCGGCGGCACGATACGGCCCAAGAGCTCCCAAAGATCGCCCCAACATCGCCCAAGAGGCCTCCAAGATGGCCCCAGAACGACCCTCGAGGTCCCCCAAGACGGTCCCAAGAGGGCCCCAAGACGGCCCAAGAGGCCTCCAAGACGCCCAAGATGGCCTCCAAGACGGCCCTGGAGCACCCCAAGAGGGTCCCGAGTCTGCCCAAAGAGGCCCCCAAGACGGCTTCCGACGGCGTCAGACGGGCCAGGAGCCCACCAAGACGGCCAAAGAGGCCCCCGAGAAGTCCCCAAAGGACCCCAAGATGCCTCCAAGAGGCTCCCAGAGGCTCCCAAGATGCCCCCTCCTCCTCCTCCTCCTCCTCCTCCACCTCCTCCTCCTCCTCCGTCCTCCTCCTCCTCCGCCTCCCCTCCTCCTCCTCCACCTCCTCCTCCGCCTCCTATCCTCCCCCTCCAGACTTCCCTCGCCATCCCCCCCCCAAGTGTCCCCCGAAAAAAAAAGGGTTTTTTTACCCACAACGGTTGGGGGGACACATGGTCCGATAGCTTGTCAGAGCTCTTGCCACGACGCTCGGCCACATGGGCGATTCTAGAAGGTAGGGGGCGGCGGTGATTCGCCGTAGGCGTCTTCGATAAAAACGGCCCTGGGGCCCGAAAGTGGCCCTCGGGGGGCGGCATGACAGAAGAAAAAAACGATTGGGAAAATCGTGTGGTCGGAAGCCTGGGCACACAGGACGACCCCGAGATCCGCTGCCAGGACCTCCGTGCATCCCCGGAAGCCCCGACCCTTTCCTCAGGACCAGTTTTCATTCCGATCCGTTTCCTGAAGGCCCCCAGAGGCCGAGAACGACCAGAAACCTTCCGCCGTGGTTTGTGCCACGGCGCGAGAATGTCCAGCTTCCGCGCCATCATCGGACCTCCGGCGGCCGTTCGGGGCGATCTGAGCACCCCTGGGACGCCCTCGGCGAGGCGCAGCTGCAGGAATGCATCCCGAGGCAGGGACACCTCTAGGAACCGACGAAACCTCCAGGAACCTCCACGACGCGAGCGTGTCTCATCAGCAATAAAAGAATACCCTGACCCTTGTGGAGCGGCCCTAAGTTAGGAGGGCCAAAAGGCATTCGGGATAGGGGGTCGTTTCTGCAGATGCATCGAACTAAACCACCAGGATCGATCATCCCTAATGCAGCGACGGGGGCCCCAGTGAGGGCACGTCTTCACTGTGTTACTAGAGTGAGGGGGTCCTGTTGTCCCCGATGAATGTCGGGGCCCTGGGCCCAAGACAGGAGAGCCCAGCATCGAGTCGATAGGTTAAATCGGCGATCGAAATGAATCGGATCGGCGGAAATCGGCAGCCGCGTCGGGGAGAGTCGAATCGGCGGAAATCGGCAGGCTAGTATATACCGACGATGAGAAGATACATCGGAACCCAGATCGAAAAATCCCAAGTCACATCGCATCGGCACTGGAAACCCTCGACATCGAATTGCATCGAACCGGAGGCATCGAAACGATGCCCTGCCAGGATACGCCCGGCCCGGGCCCGCGCGGCGCACGGGCCGGCTTTGAAAGGGGGTCCAGCTGAAAGGGGGTGGTGCAGTAGACTTTGGGCAACCGGTTTGCAAATGCACTGCGCCAGAGAAGTGGATTGCATTGCATCGCATTGCATTGCATTGCATTGCAATGCATTGCATTGCAGGCAATGCATCGGACGCGACAAGACAGCCATACACTCGGGCCCCGAGATGCCTTGCACGCCCCACATGTGTTGCAACCCCGCAGATCTGCTGCACCAAATCTGCTGCACCACCCCCCTCGCCGCTGGACCCCCGTTTGGGCCAGCCCGGCCGGCGCACCCCGCGGCGGCCTCTCGCAGGGGCTCCGGAACTCCGGGAGCTCGGGGGGCGGCGCGTCCCCGCGCGTCCGGGGCTTCGGGGCCACCAGTAGGTCGATCTCGTCCAGGACGACCATGTGCAGGTTGCTCGCCAGGTAGTACTGGAGCGCCTCCTCCCACCTAGCATCCAAGTCGGGCGCGTCCCTCTTTCCAGGAGGAGCACTCCAGAACAGCTCTCTCCAACAAAAAGAACCGTCTGGGGGCGATGCTGTTGACTCTCTTTTATTCGGTATGCTTGAATATTTGTCTGTCTATGCTTAGTTGTCTTCTCTAAAACCCGCCCGTAGGAGGACATGCCCGACCTAAACCTGGTACGGTGGCGCCCACGAGAAGGGGCCGCGAGGGGGGTGGGCTTCCAAGACGGCGGCGGGGCTTCTCGGAAGGGCAAGAGCCGCCTCAGCAGGCCCCGGGGGCTTCGAAGAGGGCTTCTTATGGAAGCCCGCAGGGCCTTCCAAGACGGCCCCTGCCCTTAGGAGAAGCTCCCGCCGCCTTCTTGCCGTGTCGATGTCAACAGGGACATTCCAAAAGACACACCGGTCACGCGACCACGTCCCGAAGATCTCAAGAAAAGCGAGCCCAAGAACACCATCTGGTAGCCTGAGCACGCCACCTGGTACGGTGGGGGCGTTTCCTTAGGGAATGTGCCCCGGAGGCTTCAGACCCTGGGGAATTCCTTATCTGATGAGGGCGGCGGTGATATCTATGGCCACTCCACGATTGGAGTTCCACCGGCTCCCAGACCCTGGAGTCCTTATCCCATGGCTCCTTATCCACTACCTTTCTGGTAATGGGCTCAGCGATTTCCGCTGTCCCTCGACTCGCGCCAGAGCGTCCACGGTTTGCTCGAGGTTTCCCTGGGGATCTCGGGAAATACTTCGATGTATCTGGAACTGCTTCGACTTACCGGGAATTTGAGAGAGAGGGCTGTCTGGAATCCGCTTCCCTGTCAGTTAAATGAGATTCAGCTATATTTTCAGATGGTCTGTCTATTTAGCTAGGCTGCCTGGCAAAAAGTCGTCAAGCCCTTAGGGACCACATGCCAGCTCAGACCTCCAACGTCTTGATAAAGCCAAGACTATGATTTCCCACCGTTTCTGACCAGGAGGGCGTTTCGGGACCCGGTGCTGTCAAATATCGTCCGGGTGCAGGAGCAAACTCTGGAAAGAGGTCGAGAGCTCTATGGGACCCGCGCAGTGACAGGGTCAAGACGTCTGAGGTCTGGGAAGGCTTTGCCATCCACCGCCGAGGATCGAGGAGGGAAGCTGTGAGACATCTGAGGCAGGAATCTTGGACGATGTGGTAATGCTTCGGGTAGCGCACAGACAGCCCCTCTGGGTAATCCTGGCTGGCCTCGACAGGCCCCCTGAGTAGTCCCAGCTGGCAACAACAGGCCCCTCGAGTAGTCCGAGGTGGTGTCAACACCTCAACCCTGTTGAGGGGCCTGTTGAGGCCTGCTGGGTATGTTGAGGCCTGTTGCGGCTTGTTGGGACTGTTGGGACTGTTGGTAGTCCTAGACCACTAGAGGAGCCCGTTGAGGCCAGCTGGAACTACTCGGGGGGCCTGTTGAGGCCAGCCAGGACTACCCAGAAGGGTCTGTGCACAACCCGAAGCCTTACCAACTCTGGGGGCCTGCCTCCGGCTCCCTCGGGCCGGGATCCGGGGCAGCAATGCGATTTGCCACTCGCACCGACCTCGGCGACGGCAACCGAACTTCGCCGTCCGTGCCTCGCAGCAGCCTGAACTCCTTGTTGAGCACCCCAGGCGTCGTCACCCAGATGGCGTTGTCCTTTCGCATGGCTGGGTACACCCCCTTGCCGGAGGTCAGCACATGCATCCCCATGTCGGTTGGGACCGCTGGGTTGAACCAGCACATCTGCTCCTCGCCGCCGAGGACGCTGAAGAGCCACCGGAGCTCCCGCCCGAACTGCAGTGCCAGCTCCGGGGTCGGCACGACGACCAGGGCCTGTATCCCCTTGTGCATGGTGGGCTGCAGGCGAGCCATCAGCGGCAGCAAGACCGCCAGAGTCTTGCCGTAGCCGGTTGGCGCGTCGATCACCACTTGCTCGCCACTGGCGATCCTGGACATGACGGAGCACTGGACCTGTGAAGGGTGGACTATGCCGCGCTCCTCGAGCGCCGTCATGAGGCACGCGGGGATCTGGAGGCCACCGAAGTCCACCATCGTGTCGTTGATACCCACCCACAGCGGGTACTGTTTCTGTCTGCTCTTCCACGCATCGAACTCGTCCAGCTCGTCCAGCTCGTCCAGCTCGTCCTCCTCATCCTCGGCGCCGTCGGTGTCCTCACCTTAGGGGGGCGGACACATGTGGGGGGGATGCATTCGAAACCGATGGCAAAGATGGGCAACACTCCCGAGGGCACCCTGACATCCTTGCCTCCTCAGTCCATCCTCAGCCACTCTGGATGGCCAGTCCCGCCAGAAGAGCCTCGACACGGGCGCCCAAGAGGCTTGCACCTGGAGATATGCAAAATACCTCGTCGCGCATCGCAGGCATGCGACGCCCTGTTTGTTTCGATGCAGCGTCCCCAGAAGTCCCGACCCTTTCCCCAGGGCCGCTTTTCACCCTGCGTCCCAGGGCCGCTTTTCACCCTGCGTCTTTTCACGGTCCCGCGGCCCGGCGAGGGACTCCAGAGGCCGAAAAAGGCGAAAAAACCTCCGTCGATTCTTTTGTCTTGCGACGCGAGCACGTCTGGGAAAATACCTTATCGTGAATCACTAATATCAGCTTAGTGGGGGGCAGCGAGCCAGCTGCACTCGGCCGGCCTTCCTGGCCAAACCCCCGGCGCCGAAGGCGGCCGTGCCTCGAGGAGAGCGCGGTTGGCGGCGGGGCCGCGACCAGCCGCACGCTGCAGCCTCCCTACTGGCGGCGCGCACAGAGGAGGGTAAGGGGGGGGAGGAGGAGGAGGAGGAGGAGGAGCAGGAGGGGGAGGGGGAGGAGGAGGAGGAGGAGGAGGAGGAGGAGGAGGAGGAGGAGGGGAGGAGGAGGAGGAGGGAGAGGAAGAGGAGGAGGAGGAGGAGGGGAGGAGGAGGAGAGGAGGGAGGAGGAGAAGGGGGGGGGGGAAGGCTCCGTAGAAGCAGGGCTGCTTCTGAGGAGAAGCCTTCCCCCCTCCCCCACACCCCCCCTCCTGCGCGCGGTCGATCCTGACCACCCCAGACATCTGGACGCCGTGACGTTTTCCCTGCGCACCCCCCGAACGTCTGGACCTTTTCCCTGGGCACCGCGTCTTGGACCGTGTCCCTGGGCCCGGCGAGGGCCCCCTGAGGCCAAAAGCGGCCAGAGCCTCCCGTCGCGGCTCTCCCAGGACGCGAGGACGTCAGGGTATTCACCCGCTCCCTCCCCAAATCCCCCTCCCTCGTCCATGAAAGGCAACATTAAGGAGAGACCAGCGCATCACGGAAAGCATCGACCCGGAATCGGCGATACATCGCCAATTGATCGTCGATGGGCTCCCGATGGTGAATCCGCACGCTCTTGGGCAGGGCGGGCTATCGGGCCCACACAGGCCCTTAATGGGTGATTGGGGGCCGATGCATCCCCCCGGAGCCCATCCCCCTCAAAGCGTTGCCCCGTTGTCAAAACATATCTACACGACCACCCTTCGGGTGATAAGGAGCTTGGGGGGGTGGGGGGGGGAAAGAACCAACTGCTGGCAAATGCGATGGGTGTGATGATGACGATGCTGGTGACGCGCCCTCGAGTTAGCGACGACGCGTGATGACCACGTTGCGCTGCGATGTAATCTCAATATCGTCCCCGCCTTCGATACCACTCGATCGATCCCACTATCGACATCACGGCTAGTCTCAGCACCAATGGATTCAAAGATCGATCCCAGTAGCAATCTCACACTGAAGGGCCCTGAGTACGATGAGGACACCATCATCGGGGCACCATCGAGCCGAATCAGTGGCACCGCCACTGCTCTGTGATGGATGCTTGATGACTATAGTGGTTGACTGTTGACGGCGACTCGATGGTTTTTCTGCACTCGTGCCATCGCCTCTAAGTGCACTGCGCGCTAGTAGCCAGAGCGTTCCGTGGGCCAGACTAAGCGTTCGAGTTGCTCCTGCGCGCTCGCTGCTGTTGGAGCGCACATTGTTTGCGATTACATATCGACCGATCTCACTCTCCACTACACTATCGAGACCAAGGCGGGACACCCCCGGCCACCGCCCGGCCACCGCCGACGGAACATCGACAGGATATGAACGGGACACCAACGGAACACCACAAGACACCACAGCGGGACATCCTGCGCCACCACGCGCCCACCAGGGGCGGAGGGGCGGTGAACTGCATCCGAATCGCCCTGGCGACGGTGGGGTCATTCCTCTCGCGCGCCCACGCAGCTTCGCCTCGCCCGCACGCACGACACGAACACGAAACCGAACTCGATTTCCCAGAGAGGGGCTCTCCGTGCCACTGTGATCTCACCCCCCAACCTCCGACATCGGGAGCGGCCAAGAGGGGGGTGTCCAAATCATGACCGGCGGCATGTGCGCGGCCCAGCGGGGGGGGCCAGGGACGTAATGAAATAAGAAGAGGCGCCATGAAATCTGCGGAGATATCATGGCCCGCGCCATGATATCCACCCCCCCCCTAGTCAGCACCCCCCTCTTTTCCGCCCCCGACGACATCGGCTCACCGGCGGCGGTCCGGGACGACCTGGCCCCCGGAACGCCCTCGGCGAGGCGGCCTGGAGCCCGAAAACCTCGGACCTCGAGCCTCGAGTCCGCCCCGACCCCTTCCCTGGGGGCAGTTTTTCGCCTGGGCTCCATGCTTGATGATCGTGGGGCCCGCCAACAGACCCCAGGTTCCAAAACGGGGGAGAAGCGCTCGGATGAAAAAAACACATCGCTGGCGATCTGGGCCCCTCTCCCGCCCCGAGCCGATTCGTCTGTATGTGAGTGTGTGCATGTGGAGATCGCATGCTCACGACCATTAATCGTAAGATTGGTACTAATGCACTGAAAATTACCAGCGTGGAGCCCAATCAAAGGTTTCTAGCATTCTAGGTGATGCAATATACGTGGCACGTGCTATGTGGTGCAAGCTATGTGGTGCAAATTGCGCGGTGCAAGCTACGTGGTGCAATCTACGTGGTGCAATTCACTTTCACTGTCTTGACACTGTCCTCTCCACTGCTCGTGCAAACATCCCACCCTCCCACCCGCAACTTGGTCGCAAGACCTCTTAAGACCGTGACGGTAGGTACCAGGTGGCACTTGGCAACGACACCGACACCGACGACGACAGCGACAACGACGACGACGACGCCAACGACGACTACGACGACACCGACGACGACTCCGACGACTTCGACGACGACGACGACAACGACGACGACGACGACGCCGACGACGATGACGACGCGGACGACGACGACGACGACGACGACGACGACGACGACGACGACGACGACAAAACGACGACGACGACGACGGCGCCGACGACGACGACGATGACGACGCCGACGACGACGACGACGACGACGACGAAACGACGCCGACGACGACGACGACGACGACGCCAACAACGACGACGACGACGACGCCAACGACGACGACGAAGACGACGACGACGACGACGTCGTCGTCAACGAAGACGACGACGACGGAGAGGAGGGAGGACGACGACGGCGACAACGACGACAACGACGAGGGAGGAGGGAGGACGGCGACGACGCCAACGACGAAGAAGGAGGGAGGACGGCGACGCCGACGACGACAACGACGAGGGAGGAGGGAAGACAACGACGACGACGACGACGACGACGACCACGACGAGGAAATAGGAGGGACGACGACGAGACGCCGACGACGGACGACGACGACGACGACGACGACGACGACGACGACGACGACGAGGGAGGAGGTAGGACGACCACGGCGACAACGACGACGGAAACGACGACGACGCCAAAGACGACGACGACGACAAAGAAAGACAGAGGACGACGACGACGGCGACGACGACGACGAGGGAGGAGGGACAACGGCGACGACGACGACCACGACGACGCAAGAGCGCGTGCGCACGCTTTTGTTGAAAATCCGTATTGCGAAACCTTGTGCTTTGTATGTTTTTTGGAAACTCGATTTTGAAACCCTTCCGGAACCAGAGGGTTTTTGAAGGATTTCGGCATGCGCGCGCGACGACGCGTGCGTCTGCACGTCGTCTTGTTTTTTGCAGAGGATTCTCGCGACGGTACGCGCGCAAGGGCGTTCGAAAGATTTCGACATGCGCGCGCGAAGCTCGTTTGGTAGTATTCTGCTATATTTTCTTAAGATTTCGCAAGAGCGCGCGCGTAAGCTTTTTTAGACAATCCGCGTTGCGAAACCATGTGTTTTGTATGCTGTTTGGAAAATCGATTTTGAAATCCTTCCGAAACCGAAGGTTCTTGAAGAAATTCGGCATGCGCGCGCGACGACGCGCGCATGCGCACTTCGTCCCATTTTTTGCAATGGGTTCTTGGAAACTTATGGTTCTTGATAAACGAGAGCGCGCGCATAGCATTTTTGCAGAGGATAGCGGGGAGGAGTGATACCGGCCTGGCTGGGGTAGTACGAGTTCATACTCAAGATGGAAGATGGGGCAGAATCATATGCAAATTGCAACACGAAAAGGGGGTGCGTTAACTCCGGGGCGGGATAATATCTATTTTTTCTGAGAAGAGGAAATTATGTGTATATATATGATGCGATCTATGGGGTGCGAGCTATGGTGTTCATTCGATATGGTGCAATACATGTGGTGCGATCTTGGTGGTGCAAACTACGTAGCACAATCTAGGCGATGAAAGCTACGCAGTGGAATATAAGTGGTGTGAAATTTCGTGTAAGCTATGTGGTGCAACTTTTGTGTAACCAATAAAACCATCTAGGCGCTGTAAGAAATGTGATGGATGCTGTTTGGTGCAATGTATGTGGTGCGATCTATGGCGTGCGAGCTCACTATGTAGTTCACTCCACGTGATGCAATCCACGTGGTGCAATCTATGTGGTATCAGGTCCGCTGCACAATTTAAGTGGTGCAAACTACGCAATGGAATGTGTTGTGTGAGCTATATGGTACAAGCTATGTGGTGCAACCGATGTGGTGTTAGCTATGGTGTGTGAGCTATGCGGTGTAAGCTATGGGGCGCAATCTATGTGGTGCAATAGGCGACGACGGTGCGGCGACGTGGCGACGACAAGCCTGCCGGGGAGGCACACGAGCCCGCGACGAGGCGGCGACAGGCGGCGACGAGCAGCGACGGGGCGCTGACGGGGCGACTACGACAAG